TTTCTTGATGTTCATCAGGAAAAGTGGAATGAGTTGATCTCTGCTACTGCGTTAAGGAACATCAGGGAAGCTAAGTGGAATGTGCCCACTCTCATGCCATTCACTGAGGATGTCCAGAAGTTGCACAAGCATTTGAATGCTGTTCAAAATAAGTGGTACAATACACTCTCTGAATGTCCATCTACAAAAGCTTGGACAGAGCTGGCAAAGATTTGTCTTGTTCAGATCATTCTTTTCAATCGCCGGAGGGAAGGAGAGGTGGCTAGCATGCCTTTGTCTGCATTTTTATCAAGAGACACCTCTGATCCACATGAAGATATCGACTGGGCACTCTCTGAAGTGGAGAAAAAACTTTGCAGATACTTCTCAAGAATTGTCACAAGGGGAAAGCGAGGACGACCAGTTCCAATTCTCCTTACGCAAGAAATGCTTAGTTCATTGGAACTTCTTATTAAGCAGAGAGATACCAGTGGAGTTTTAAAAGACAACATTTACATGTTCGCAAGACCAGAGGCCATGACACATTTTCGAGGCTCCGATTGCCTCCGTGTTTTTGCAACAGCCTGTGGGGCAAAGTGTTCAAAGTCACTGACATCAACCAGACTTAGAAAACATGCTGCAACACTTTCAACGGTCCTGAACATGACAGACACACAGATGGATCAACTGGCCAACTTTCTTGGACACGACATCAGAATTCATCGTGAGTTTTACCGACTTCCTGAGAAGACTCTGCAACTTGCCAAAATCAGCAAAGTTCTAATGGCTCTGGAACAAGGAAGATTAGCTGAGTTTCATGGTAAAAACTTGGATGAGGTTCAAATAGAGCCTGATGGTATGTTCTTATAAAAAATACTTAATTTGTTTGTTTTTTTATTTTTCTTTATTAGTTGAGCTATAATTTGTATTTTAAACAGAAAAAATTCTGGACACTGATGAGGAAGATGAGACTCAAGAGGAAGTGAACACCTCAGCTAATTTTGATGGTAGGAGTTGTTAATGCCACAGTTTGTGGGTGTGTTGATGGATGTATGAATGGATAGAAAGATGTAATTTCAACAACCAATAAATTGTGCTTATTCTAACAGGCCAATCAGCAAAGGAAGCAATTCCTCCTCCAGAGAAGAATGAGACTGTACCACTGCCGTCCAGGAAACGTAAACCACCCTCATCAGATGAGGAAGTTCCATCCTCTTCAAAAGGTTGCTCAATTTTCTTTTTAAAATATGGTCAATTTTTTGCACATGGAATGCTGGTGTGAAAATGAAAGTAACACATTTTTAACAAATGAAACAGCAGTCATAAGAACATAAAATATTGAACATATCTTATTGAGAAAATAAGTACTAAACTTAAATGAATTCCAGGAAATACATAAGTGTTGCAATTTCACCTTTCTCATCATAATTAATTACAATAATATAGTTATATTATGATTTATATAATATAATAAGTATTATATATGAATAAATAATATATTTTCGCAAATGAATATAAGAGATTCATTCCCATTGGTTGACGAGTAGATTAGATCCAAAGTTCAAATAAGTGACTAATGACATTGAAGTTCTGCAATAATATTCACTGCTAAATTAATGAATTATGTTCAAAGTAGGTCTGTTCAATTAATAAAATTTTCATCTCAATCAGAATATGGATCTTGAACTATTATGAAAAAAAAAATGAGCTGATTATTTGTTTCTCCCTCATAGGTAACTCAAAGTTGCAACTCTAGCGCACCTTCTATTCAGTGTTGCTAAATTGGCAACTTTGCCACTATTTCTAACAAATTTTCCAGACCCCCTTCTTGACTTTTTTCCCCCAAAATGCCTAGCAAACAACCTAGTGACATTTCTGGTAACTCTTAGCTACTTTCTATATAACTTTGTCAACAATGTTTCCTGCAGGTTAGCAATACCATAGACAGGAATATGCTGACGCAACATTGGGTGCTGGACAGCGTAGGGTATTGAAAAGTCAAGTCTTCAATTTAATTAAAGAAAAATTAAGACCCTTAAAAGTCTTAAGGTCTTAAATAATAATAATAATAGTTTGGATTTATGTAGCACTTTTCAAGACACCCAAAGAGCTTTCCATTCATGCATTCTGACATTCACACACTGCCAGTGATGGTACTATGTAGCCACAGCTGCCCTGGGGCGGTTTGGCAGAGGAGAGGCTGCCATTTTGCGCAGATCTGCTTGTCTGGCCAACGCATTCTACCTCCTGAGCCACTGCTGCCCTCAAATAAATCAATATTTGAAGTGGATTTACATATGGCTGTAAACTCTCACGTGATGAGCAGGAGACACATTTTCTCTGAATGTGCTGTTCATGTGCTCTCAAGACACTTTTTTCTCACACTGATAAATAATAGTTTATCTAGGTAACGTTGCATGGTGCTACTGCACTGCTGTACATGGTTAACTAATAAATGTTTTAAAAAGCTATAGCATAATACCGTGTAAGCAAAAACCCTTATATTAGGCAGCCCGAAACCCCCCACCCTTTACCCATTGTGTTAAGATGACCTTGTGGTATCCTAATGACCACAACTTTAAATGGCCTTTTGAAATGTTCATGTAGTATTTGCCAAGTCCAGGGTGACTGGGAATATGCACCACAAAGAAGTATTTCATGGACTTGGTATGTTTCATTTAAACCTCTTATTGTTTAATTTATTTTTTAAATTCACAATCTTAAGATGGTATTTTAGGCCACTGATATTTATTCTGACTTTAAAATTAAAATGCCAAGTTCAACCTTGAACTTCAAAATGTTAACGAGTGCCATATTTAGTCAGTGTGGGAAGTACATGAAATAGAATCACCGGAGACTTAACTCTGAATACTTTAAAATAACGACTTTTCTTACATCTTTTAAAACTCACAAGTGATGTCTGTAAAACTGACTTGTGGTATTATAAATAATGTGATTCTCCACTGTCAGAATAATCATGTTCACATCCATGCTGAAAAATCCATCAGTGCTCTCCTGCAGAAAACAAATAAGCTGTTTGGTCAACGAAAAGTTACACAATGTTTAAATAGTTGAATCATAACTTGGCAATAGTCATATTTTGAAATAACTAGATGATTTACACTGATTAAGTGAGACTTCCTGTCTAGCGCTATACTGCTGAGCTTGATGCGTCACAGGAATTTATTGTGACAAAAATAGAACCCAATGCTATCTTTAGCAGCACAGCAACAGGTTTCTGTGATGCGCCTGAAACATTTCATGTGTGTGTGTGCCAAACCATAGAATAGACGGTGAAGCAGAGATGTGTAATGCACCACAGGCACTCCCATTGTGAATTGGAGGTAACATTAAAGCTACATGTGATTTCAGTCAGAAGCAGTTTTTAAATTGGAGATTGTTCAAACAGTATGCTTTTAGAGTTTTGCATATTTGAGCTTAAAGTTATTCCATCTTGATTTCATACTAGCCCGTGGCTAGTTACACTTCTAGCCCCAGATGTTATAATAAAAGCCTTTTTTGTTTCCCCACTATTTTCAGGCATAGCTCCTGTGAAGAGAAGAATTTCCTGGAACCCTACGGAAGTGCAGGCTGTGGAAAGATCCATGCATCATTTTATCACTTCTTGCACCGTGCCAGCAAAGAATGACTGTGAGAAATGTTTGAAGGCTGAACCTGTTGCTCTTAAAAGTCGCAGCTGGCAAAACATTAAGTTCTACATTTATAATCGTATAACGGCGAACAAAAGAAAATTCCAGCAAAAATAGCTTTTAAAAAGCCTCTTTACTTTAGCTGTTTAGCTATGGGCAACTGAAACATGCTTTGCTTGACCTGTTTTTAGGTTTTCGTCCTTTAGTGATCTTCATTAAGGCCCTGTTGACAGCTTTTCTGTTCTTCACCAAGTTTCACTGCTTTTCTTGGAAAGACTTACTGGTGAAAAGGTCAGCAGCCCCCATTGTTTAATGTGTATATGATACACATTGCAAAAAAGGACACTTTAGTTAATCTTTTTATGCCAAGTTGTATTTTTTCTTTCATGAAACTCCAGAAAGATTGATAACATAATCGTTTGAAAGAAAGTGGCATCAACTTTGTTTTATTTATTTAAATGACAATTTTTTCAGTTGGGGCCTGCTTTAGTTATATGACTTGTGGATCCTGGTTTCTGGTCTTGGTGATTCATCATTAAAATGTTTTGACCAGTTGCTTTGTTTATTGTCCTTTTAATTTCCATGACTAACTATTTTTATATTGGTTACATGTACTCTGACCTAATGGTAAAATGAATGGTTTATAAGAATGGGTTAGTTATACAGCACTTCGCTTTCCATTAATAATGCATTCACACATTCCCACATGATGTGTTGGATAAACTATGTAGTCGCTGGTGCCCTGAGACAGTCTCATCAAGATGGCTAAGTTAGGTGAAGTGTCTTGCTGAGGCTGATTGACATTTTGAACCATCAGCCCCTCTGGCTAGATTTTTTTGTCTTCTAAGAAAGGTTGTGAAATGGAGAATAACATTTGCTTGAGATCTAAATTTGATGGATATTTTAACATTTTTCTTTCATTGTCCCCATGAGGTAATGTTTTCAAGGACCCCACTAGGTACACACATATGTGTGTGAAATATGCTAATTTGATGCTAATATGTCCCCATAAACCATGAAAATCAGTTAATTTATGTGTCCCCATAAAACATGGTCCTGTTGGTACTTTGGAATTTCATTATTTTAAAGTTGTGTATAGGCTAATGGTGCATTGGTTGTTTCACCTGATTTTTTTGAAGTCTCTAAAACGTCTAGAAAGGGTGGTCCCCACAACTGATGATCCTAACTTTGGTCCCCATCAAACATGGAAACCAGTATGTGTGTGTGTGTGTGTGTGTGTGTGTGTGTGTGTGTGTGTGAGAGTGTGTGAGTGTGTGTGAGATAGAGAGAGAGAGAGAGAGTGAGAGAGTGTGTGAGAGTGAGAGAGAGTGCGTGCGTGCGTGAGTGCGTGCGTGTGTGTGTGTGTCTAACCTTGTATGGAGATGAGGACTTGCAGCAGGCTGGACTTGCTGGTCCACCTCTCAGTCCCCTGTGGACGACAGAACCAGGGAGTTGAACTGGGTTGGGTCCAGTACTGGCTGGGACGGCCCAACAGCACTCACCTTTCCGATCCAGGTTCCCAGCAGGCTGACGCAGACTTTGCCGTTGTCGTACAGGTTGGGATTGAGGCGGCCGCTGCACTGGGACAGGTAGCGGAACAGCGGCGGCACGGCCGGGTAGATGTTGGGCAGCTGGATGTCGAAGAGGAAGAGTCCGTCCTCGTACGGGGTTCTGGTTGGTCCTTTGATCAGAGCTGAAAACAGGTCCTGTGTCACAGGAAGAGCAGAACTCACCCACTTGTTCTTTAGGGGTCAAAAGATGCCGGTGCTGGTGGATCACTGGTTACCCGAGTAGAATCACAAGTGTTTTCTCACACTCTTAACGCCGAGCGGAAGCAGAGCCGGTGCTGATCCAGAAACTATATTTGTGTCATCCTCCAGCTCTACATCTGTAGCTACGGCTGCACCGTCAGGCTGCTTCCTAATCTGGTCTATGAATGTGGTCCAGATGAACAGAAGGTTCTGCTGCATCCTGGTTCCGCCCAAACAACCTAACTGTGGCCAACTACTTTGTTGGTTTGATGAGTCTGAAGAAACAAGTGTGTTGTCATGGCAACACTTCTAAAGCAACCCAAAACAGATCTTTGGTGATTGGACAAAAAAACATCTACGTCATCAGGTGTGTGCATGCGTGTGCGTGTGTGTGTGTGTGTGTGTGTGTGTGTGTGTGAGTGTGAATGTGCGTGCGCGCGTGTGTGTGTGTGTGTGCGTGCGTGCGTGTGTGTGTGTGTGTGCGTGCGTGCGTGTGTGTGCATGCGTGCACATGTGTGTGTGTGCATGCGTGCATGCATGCGTGCGTGCGTGTGCATGTGTGCACATGTGTGTGTGTGCATGCGTGCATGCATGCGTGCGTGCGTGTGTGTGCATGTGTGCACATGTGTGTGTGTGTGCGTGCGTGCGTGTGTGTGCATGCGAGCACATGTGTGTGTGTGCATGCGTGCATGCATGCGTGCGTGCGTGTGTGTGCATGCGTGCACATGTGTGTGTGTGCATGCGTGCGTGCGTGTGTGTGCATGTGTGTGCGTGTGTGTGCGTGCGTGCGTGTGTGTGAATGTGTGTGTGTGTGTGTGAGCGTGCGTGTGTGTGCGTGCGTGCGTGTGTGTGTGCGTGCGTACGTGTGAATGTGCGTGCGTGTGTGTGTGTGTGCGTGCGTGCGTGCGTGCGTGTGTGCGTGCGTGTGTGAATGTGCATGCGTGCGTGTGCGTGTGTGTGTGAATGTGAATGTGTGTGTGTGTGCGTGTGTGTGCGAATGTGTGTGTGTGCGTGTGTGAATGTGCGTGCGTGCGTGTGTGTGTGTGTGTGTGTGTGTGTGTGTGCGTGCGTGCGCGTGTGAATGTGCGTGCGTGCGTGTGCGTGAGTGAATGTGCGTGCGTGCGTGCGTGTCAGTACGGATCAGATAAAACCCACCATGCGGTCCTCGAAGGTCTTGACCATGATGCCGTCGGGCAGCGACGTTGCCAGCAGAGCCATCTCCTTCCTCACTGTGCTGAAAAACTTCTTGGCCTCTGCCGGCTGAAACTCCATTTTCTTAAAGGAGTGAGTGTCTGTTGGTGAGGAAACGGGTGAAAGTGAACTTTACACAGCTGAGCTCTTGTTGATCTGTAGATTAACGGTTTCACACCCGTGTGAGGAACCCGTGACCTCACCTGGAGCCCACTCCAGCACCGAGAACACCTCCCCTTTGGCGCTGGTGAAGGTCACTCCAGGTTTCCCTCCACTCTGTTGGCACAGCACCGGCGTTTCGCTCAGGAACTCACTGGGCCACTCCTGGTTCCCCACCGGCGTCTGTGGCTCCTGCTGGGGTTTCTCCTCCGTGCTCCTCTCTGCCTGAGGAGATGCGGCGGGTCAAACCTCCTCTACTGACGAGGCGGATCATCACAGCAGCGGGACACCTACCTCTGTTCCTGCTCCGCCGCTCCCAGCAGACTCCACAACAGCTTCCATCTTCTCTTCCTCCACAATGGCCACGTTGTCCAGAGTCTTCCTCAGGTTCTCCTGCAGTTTCTTGAGGTCGTCCAGGAAGCGCTTCTCCTTGGTGGGTTTTTCAGAGGCAGGAGGCATCACCGAACTCGCTACGTTGGCCGTGGACACCGGTTCCGCTGAGGTTGGGGAGGTTGGCGAGCCACCGGTCCACAACTGCTCCACCGTCATGTTCTTCAGACTCTCCAGGATCCTGAGGGCCTCCCTCAGCTCCCTGAACCCTCGAGAGGAACCGTCCTTGTTGGGCTTCTCCGCTCCGTTTACCGACGCCGCTGGAGTTGTTCCTGCACCGGACGACAGACCACACAACAGTCCGTAAAACTGCCGTTAGCATCGAGGTCTGAAACCTGTTTGATCGCGTCTTGTTGACCTCACGTTTGTCAAAATCTAATTCAGAGTTTAGGAGATTTTCCAGAGGCTTCCACTGGTGAAGAATTAAACTCACAACTCCCTCCCTCTCGCGCTCGTGACCAATTCCAGCGGTCGGCGGGTGAGAGGAGAGGGACACCATGGACAGGTCTCCGGTCCATCACAGGGACACACGGAGACGGAAGACTGCCCACGCATTTTCCAGCTAACCCCAGAGTATCCGGAGAAATCCCACAGGTGCACGGGGAAAACGTGCTACCTCTACGCAGAACAGCTGGAGCTGGGACTTGAACCAGCAACCTTTACACTGCAAGGCAACAGTACTACCAACCGCCCCTCCGTGAAGCCCCGGTTTCATTTCCTGCCTTGAAATTCACACCTCTTTAACGCTCCTCTTGTATGTTGCTGCTGTGTTCGTCTTCTGAGTCCATTTGCGGTTCGTTTTCAAACACAGACGAGGTTTTTCTTTACCTTGCTGATGGTTTCGTTTGCAGCAGCGAGGTAAAGAGAAACCTCATCCGTGTTTTAAAAAAAGGACCAAAAATGGACTCTTTAAAGCTTTACACACCTGTTTTAACTTAAGCTCGTGTATTAATACTCGTGAGGTAAAAGTTACTTCATCATCACTGAACACGATTCTGCCACCTGCTGGAGCAGACCGGTGCCTGCTGCCTCTCTAAAATGAGAACTCCAGATGAAATGGATAATCCAGCTGTGAAGCTGTCCAGATGTGTACCCCGGGACTAAGATTAATCTGATGTGATCGGATTACATCAGTCTGGTTTATTCTACAGTCGTTTCTGTTAAAGGTCACGCTGGCCGGACAATAACTAGATATGAATCTGTGCTGCGCAGCGGCCATCAACAGCAGCTGCCCCTCAGACTGAGGCCTGAGACGACCCTGAACCACGAGACAAGACAGCAGGAAGCTCCCCACCTCCTCCTGAAGCAGGACTGGCCACCGCTGCTTCTCCCTCCGCTGCAGGAGCTCCGTTGGTGGGACCGGTGGCCGGCTTGCTGCCCTCCTGAGGGGGGAGGATGAAGGCGGTAGAGCCGGTGGGCGTGGGGGTGGGCGTGGCCGTGTCTGTGGCGTCTGCGTTGTTGACGTGGCCGTCGTCCTCAGTGGTCAAGCCGTTGTCCGTCTCCCAGCTGTCGCTCTCGTCCTCCCACTCCTCGGTGGACAGGACGCTGCTCGTCTCGTCCACCGAGTCGTAGTCCGTCTCCTCGATCTCGGACTCCACGTTGTAGAGGTGCTGTGGGATGGTCAGAGTCGCTGAAGCGCTCGCTCCTGATGCAAACGGCTCTAGTTTTTACAAGCACTCACCTGCGGCAGGACGATGGTCTTGGAGTTGTCGGCCCAGACCACCTCCACTTTGCTGCTCACGTCCACTCTGGACACCTGTCCCACTGACGTCTGAGGAACACACACACACAAACACACACCCCAGCAGCGTGGTTAGAGCCTGGTTGCTCCATCACGTCACATGACTTGTCCTCCCTTGATTCGATTAGAAACGGGGTCTAACCACACACAACGCCGTCTCACGTTTGTGACTCAAAGTAAACTCAAGCAGGTTCCAGCGACCGCCATGACTCAGCAGAAATTTCTTGAACATTTCTCCACTTCCACATGGGATTACAGCCACTTGACTCGCACGAGGAAACTGAGAACCCTCGGGAACGACTCGAGATATTCTGGAAGCTCATTCGTGGTGACATTTGAATCAGGCGTGTCATGATCCAGATTCAAATATAAGGTGCTGCTGCTGCTGACCCGGGGTCAGTCTGAATGTAAACTGCTGAGACGGTCTCACCCAAACCTCGTCTTTCAAATCAACCGGAGATCTAAATGAAGTATCTGCGTCGATTCCTTTATCCTTCCTGCTGTCGTTTCAACATTTACAAAAACACAACAGGTGTTTCTGGGGATCTGGAGCCGACTCGTGAGTCCGAGTGCTTTAAGCCGGGCGTACGCTGTGCGACTTTTTCACTTTTTTGAGCCGATTTTCCACTCGTGCGAGAATCCACGAGATCGGGGTGAGTTTTGTGCCGAGCGTCGTGTAGTGTACGGGGGGTTACGAGAGGCGATTAACACCACGTGACCAGCTACCGATCAGCAGTCGTGAGGTCGCACGGACTTCTGGCGTGTTTAATATTTCGCTCGTCCCTCGTGAGGGTATCGCACTGTTGAAGCGGCGCTGCGAGCAGCTGCGACCCTAAAGCCCCCTTCAGACAGGCCATGAAAAACGGAAATGTTCCGGACTCTGTCCGTAAGACCTTTGTGTCTGAATACAAACATCCGGATAACGTGTTCCGGAATTTATCCGGACGAAGCCCCTAGTAACAGGTCCGGACTTGTTACGGACAAGGTGGCTGCTTCAGACTGGTGAGGTCAAGTTCCGGACAAGGGGGAGGAGGAGGGGACCGGGGGACGCTGTGCGCACCTAGATAGCTCGCTGCTGTAGCATGCGGCGAACCACGGCAGCTCGCCTCCTACGGTACCGTGTAGACGCACGACGGAGCGCATCACACCGCTTCAGTGATTCCTTTAACCATTGAGCTTCATCATCCAGGACTCTTATGCGTCTTCGTGTGCGCAGAATTATGCTTAAGCGCCTCGTGATTTTTATCTTGAGAGGCGCTATAGAAATGATATTTTCTTCTTCTTCTTAACATAAGTCTGACCCCCCCCCCCATGACTCGTGAGATCTGTCCTGAGAGGAAGTCGTACAGTTTGAGCTGAAGCTGAGTGCTACGAGTGAAAAAGTCGCACAGTGTCCGCCCGGCTTTATGAATCCGTCTGTCTCAGAAGAGCGACGCTCACCTCGTTCTCACAGTCGTTCTGTCCGTTCTCGGAGTTCCAGATTCGGATGACTATATCGGTGGTGCGGAAGTGGAAATCTGGATGGTCGGAGATGTCGTACACGCTGACATCCTCCTCCACGCCGATGACCTGCGTTAGACAAATATAAACAAACAGGAATGTCGGCACCCTGTGATGTTCACCCGTCTCCCTGTGACACCCGTCCCTGGCTGACCTCCACGCCGTCCCCGCTGGAGTTCAGGTTGATCCACTTAACCACGCACGTCCGACCCTTGTGATCTCCAGACTGGATCACACCGTACACTCCTGGGTCCTGCAGGCTTTGAGCTGTGGGGGGGGGGGGGGGGGGGCACATACACACAGGTCAGAGAGCCAGTGACACGGGGTTGTTGAACGCTAGCGTTGTTTCCTCACGTCGTTTGTCCACTACGAAGTCCCCGGGGCAGAACTCGTGGCTGTCCAGGTGCTGAATGGGGATCAGGTCATTTGATCTGATGCCCTTCTCCACCCGCCCGTCCTTCCACATCACATCGGCTGTGGTTTTTGTGGATACCACTTCCACGGCCACCCTGAGACAGAAAACAAACCCTGATCAGGTTTCTACTCAGATCTGGTTAATAACAAAGGTGTCCAGCAGCGGGTTCGGGGGTTGCCGCTAGGGAAGCACCAATACCGATACCAGTATCGGTATCGGTAAAAGTTAACTGATACCAATGCAGTTGCTTGAAAATGGCTTCACTGTAACTTGTCATTTCTGTTCACCTAATATTTTATTTTTGGGATTATTTCTATTCATATGTTTTACTTTTTATCTACCTCACAGTCTTTTCCTGTTGAAAGAAGAGAAGAAAATAAAATCTGTATTCCAAATCATTGCATTTTTTGTGTGGTAGAAGTATCGGAATCTGTAATCTGTATCGGCAAGTATCCAGATCCAAGTATTGGTATCGTATCGGTTTGGAAAAAAGTGGTATCGTTGCATCCCTAGTTGCCGCCACAACAGGCAGCTGAGTAACCTAACAGGGTCCACTCGGACTCGATATTCCTCGCCCCCCCAGAAACGTTTTGGAAGTTCTGTCGAGGTGGGAATTGAAGCTCCTGACAGGAGACGGCCAGACGTTCCCAGCAGACCCTCAGAACATGTTTGGGCCTGCCAGGTCTGACCAGCATCCTGCCCAATGGTCAGTTGGCACCTCCGCCCCTCTCTTCACCCGAGCGTCCAAGATCAGATGAAACGACAGAGCCGATCATCGAGCAGCAGCCTGTGGTATCCTGGTGCCAAGAGCACATGTGGACAACATGGTGTTCATTATGGACAATCCATGGTGAGCACACAAGTCCAGTGACAAAACCTTGCTCGTTCCTCCCAACCACACCTCTCCAGGTCTCACCGTCATTACCCACTCGAGTGTTCAAGTCCCCCAGCAGAACGAGGAAGCCAACGTAAGAAGCGCTCTCCAGCGCCTCCTCCATGGACTCCAGTAACGGTGGGTAGTCTGAGCTGTAGTTAGGTGGATGAGCACGGACCTCAGCCAGGACCCGACCCCACCACACGTAGACAGAGGGAGGCTACCCTCTCGTTCGCCAACGTGCAGGCACCAGACGGAGGCCTCTCAATGGGAGCAGCTCCAGAGTGGAACCGGTTCTGGAGTCAGAGCCATGCGTCGAGGTGAGTCCTCTCAACCTCACACACACAGACTCCGACTCTCCATCACAGAGGTCACAGTCCACGTACCGAGAGCCAGCTTTTGTAACCGAGGATCAGACCGCCAAGTCATCTCCATGGGTGAAGGCCACCAGGCGCTCACTGACAGCTCACGGGGAGGGGGGCGCTTTGGTGACCCGCGTCCGGGCGACAGAAGAGTTATTCTTCATGCTACCATGTTTTAAAAAGTGACTACTCTCCAAGAGGGAACGCACCGGTCTCCGGGCTTGAACTCGCGGGAGAACTTGGTCCTCTTCTTCTTGTGTTTCCTCTTGAGGTTGCGGATGGAGAGCGGGATGCTCTTTTTGCGGTTTGTTCCCAGACCGCCGCTCTGAGAGGAGGCCGTGGAGCTGGCTGAGGACGTCAGAGAGCTGCAGAAAGATTCAGACACACACACACACACACACACATCGTTTTTCTTTATAACTGATGTTTAATGTTAGAAAAGGTCACACCCCCCACGTTAGGAGCTTCCTATGCTCAGATCTTTTAAACCAGACTAAACTGGACTCCATATTTAAAGTGGTCCCCACAGACCTGGTGTCGTCCGTGTCCTCTCCAGCCTCGTCATCGGCGTCCTGCTCCCCGTGCGCGGCATCACTGGTGTTCTGAGAGTCCGGCGGGTTCTGAGCGGGGCTCACCGGGCCGTTGGGCTGAGACGAGTCGGTCTGATCAGACTTGTGCTCTGCTGAATTTGCTTCGTCCAGTTAAAATTTAAATTAGAAGGAAATACAAACACTGAAGTCAGCATAAGGACAGGAAACGTGTCTCTACTCTAAACTTTCACACACACCCCTCTGTAACGGCCGAGTGTGTGTGAGGAACGAGCTGCTGGTGTTAGGAGGACAAAACAAAAACTACAGCGCTTTCATGATCTGATTGTAAACACCTTCTGAGTTGGCGTTTTCTGTCTTCTTCCCAGAATCCTTCTTGAACATCCTTTTAAGCTGCAGAAAACACAAAGAGTAAATTAGCCTGTAAACCCAAACGGATCCAGGTCTCATCGTTAAATCATCGACGTGCTTCTGTTCCTAGGGATGGGTACCTTTGGCATTTGAATCGATCCGGTACAAATTCCCGGTACCTAGGAATCGATACCAGAACTTAACGGTACCAATTTTAGATACTTTTGAGTGTTTATCATTTTAATTCTCTTTTATAATTAAATATATATTTTTCTCAATATATAACCATATTTGATAAATATCACGATAAATAACATACAACTGTTTGTATTTTAACATTGTCCTTGTAGTTTTATAAGCTGATAATTAAACTGAAGCAAACATCTTTACTGTGAACTAAATTTACTGTGTATCTTCATTCCTTTTACCGTCTTTTTTCATTTGATTTTACCTACTGGGAAGTTAGAATTTCCGAGGAGAAAGCGAACGCACCATTAGCTGATAACAATGGTGGCAATGGAAGCTAACATATCAAGCTAACGTTATCTTAAACAGTTTATTTAGCTACCGGAGCAGATTAAAACGATGATGCCTCACACTTAGATCGTTGTCGCTGGTTTCATCATCACCCAGTTACCCATCACATTTAGTGAAGTGGACCCAAGCTTTAGCGTGCGTTCTTTCTACCATGCTGCTCTGTTTACAACTGGCTCGCAGCGAGCGACGACATAACGCTCTTGCGCATGCGCAGCTGTCTAGGCAAGTTCTCGTTATGAAGGACGGGTACCGAAACGAGGCACCGTTTGAAACGACGTGAATCGGTGCTCGGTCGGTACTATGGAATTCGGTCGGTACCTTAAAAAGTACCGAATTTGGTACCCAGACTGTTCCACATCTTGAACACAAATATTTAAAAATCTAAAATGTGTCAGCAGCACCTTTCTAGCAACGGGGTCCTCCAGCGGAACATGAGCACCCTCAGGTCCGTCGCAGATGATGCGCGTGACGTCGCCTTTGGCTGGAAAGATGTAGAGGGCCCTTTCCCCCAGCTGCCTCTGCGTGTGGTCGTAGTAGCCCAGACGTCTCACCCTAGAAGCAAACATCACATTCAGTAGGCTGGCCTGGACCCACAAAGGTCCGACTCTGATGAAGCGGATGCCGAATGAGACCGAGTGGACTGACCGCTGCAGGTCTTCCTGCGCGATGGTGGAGGGAGGTGGGTAAACACCGTCTGAGCCTTTTGGGGAGTAGCTCTTTGTGATCCAGGTGACTTTTAACTCCACCACCTGCACCTGGGGGGGGGGGGGCACAAGTCTCCAAGTCAGCATTAAAAACATAAGAACCGGCGCTACCTGGAAGCTGAACAGGGAGGAAAAGAAGACGTATGTTAAAGTAAGAGTTGTCAGGTTACATGAGTGCGGATTTACCTCCTCCACCACAACTCTGAACTTGCATTTCCTGCTCAGGACGGGTTTGACCCCCGACAGCCACTGGACATTAGAGAAGACTTTGGCGGGACCGATCAGGACCTGGCCCGGGTAAAAACCGTACGCCTCGTCAAAGAACAGACCCTAAAGATAAAAACAGCACAGACACAACTCAGACCAGCTCTTCATGGTTCCACAGCAGAATAGTCAAGGATGGTTCTGAGCACCACTTTAACCTTAGACCGACATCTTAGATCCAAATATCTCCGGCTTTGTTCTCCCCTGAAGTGAAGAACAGGTCTCCTTCCAGGAAGAACCAACTAAACAACTTCTAACAAAAACTTATTTTTCGATGCTAAATGAAAAATTAGTTTACACCACCATGAAGCTGAAAATAATCCGTCGTCCTAAATCAGGTTGCTCCCCACAGAGCAGAGAAAGTACTCCAAAGAGACCTGGACGTCAGTAGAAGACGGGAGCTTCAGGCTACGTACCGAGTCACTGACGTGTGGACAGACATCGTAAAGCTTGGCACCGTCTTCCACACTCATGGAGCACCTGGACAGGGGGCAGATGGTGAGTCTGACCTGGCATGCTCTAACGCTCCGACACACACACACACACACACACACCTGGCTCCGTTAGACAGCTTGAGGATGATGTGATTGGTCAGGTCGTACACTTTGCCCAGCCAGAAGTCATAGGCTATGTAGTCTCCGTACATAAAAGACTAAAAACAAATAAAGATCATGTTAGTTTCACCAGGTTATTCATGAGCCTGCAGGACAGTGCGTGCGTGCGCGCACGTGCGTGTGTGTGTGCGTGCGTGTGTCTCACCCAGATGTGCTGCAGGTCTCTGCTGTTCACTGGATACAGAACACAGCTGGTTCCCACCAGCTTCACGGCACATTCAATGTCAATGTTGGTCACAATACCACACTGGTTGTCCTGAAATACAACACACACACACACGCACGCACGCACACACAATGATCAATAGCAATGTGAATCGATGACATCATAGTGAAAGATTAGTGATTTTTCAGTAACATCAAAGACTGTCAGACTTCACTTACACACGAGTTGCTCCGTCTCACAATGTCTCTGATGACGATTGATCGATCTTCTAGTTTCAGCTGTGGAGAAAAGACAAAAAGGCGGAGAAGGTTGGTTAACTTCTCATTGATGTAATTTCCTTACAAACGAATCAGCCGATGGTCTGAAGCTCAAACTGGACGTGGTTTCCTGGCAGCAGGAAGAGGACAGAAGCTACGGACATTAACCTGGCAACAACTCGGCTCCCAGTAGGAACCTAGTGCAATACTGCCGTCTCACTGAAGTGTGTGCGCCAGCACCGGGTAAGAAACAGGTCCGGCGCCGGGACAGGAACAGGTACAGTGAGCAAAGACAATTGAGCTTAAAGTAAAACAAACAAGGATTCACAAATAGATAAAAACAAATGATAAGAACACTAGACTAATATCTAGGGGTGGGCAATATAAACGATATAAGGTACAAACGATATTAAATTGGGTAATGATAGAGTTTTTGGCTATATAGCAATACCGCGATATCGCAATAACACATGATGTCACTAAGATGTGCACCCTGCTGACATTGGGACAACAGAATGGCAGTGACTGCAAGCATGGAGTGGGCGGAGGATAGGGATGGGTACCGAATTCAGTACTTTTTAAGGTACCTACCGAATTCCATAGTACCGACCGAGCACCGATTCACGTCGTTTCAAACGGTGCCTCGTTTCGGTACCCGTCCTTCACAACGAGAACTTGCCTAGACAGCTGCGCATGCGCAAGAGCGTTATGTCGTCGGTCGCTGCGAGCGAGTTGTAAACAGAGCAGCATGGTAGAAAGAACGCACGCTAAAGCTTGGGTCCACTTCACTAAATGTGATGGGTAACTGGGTGATGATGAAACCAGCGACAACGATCTAAGTGAGACATCCTCATCTTAATCTGCTCCGGTAGGTAAATATGATGTTTAAGATAACGTTAGCTTGATTTGGTTAGCTTCCGTTTCACTAATGGTGTGTTCGCTTTCTCCTCGGAACTCCGAAATTCCGACTAGAAGAACAAGAACGCGATTTTGAATATCGATATAATATCATTGAAAAAAATATCACGATATATTGCCTTATCGATATTTTCTTACATCCCTATAGCAGTCCATCGTTCTACTAAGAACACGTCACTGAAAATCCTCACCGAGGTAAAAGGTCAATGCTAAAGCCATTTCAAAACCCGGAGAGAATGGCACACTCTACAGGTCTCAGTTAGCAGGTCAAAGGCTAAAGTTCATGTAAAACTTTGTTTCTGTTCTTTCAGATCTAGTGCACATGTGAATGATGTTTGTTTATGCTAATCAACAACCAGTAGAGCGTTGATGCTACTCCAGAAAGTTGTGGCTGGGATTCTAAAGGTTGGTTTATGCTTGACGCGTCTGCGAGGTCTGCACAGCTCCGCGCGGAAAAGTTGCGTCTTTTTGCGTCATTTTAACAACCACGCCCCTCCACCGCGTCTCTGCACGGCCCAAGATTTCCGCAACGCGCACCTCGGAAAATTTCTAACCACGCGGACGGTCAGACGCGGAAAAACATGGCGGACCGGCAAGGCAGAGGTTCGTAAATAGAGACATTTGTATGATTCAGCTCTCAGAGATCACCGTGATCAACATGTTTTTAATAATTCTTGGAGAGAAATAGCTCTCACTGTCGGAAAAGACGAGAACGCTGTTAAAAATGCTGAAATACCATGTTGTAAACAGTGATTTCTACTTCTACTATGGTGTAGTGTTGGATGCATGCTGTAGAGCTCCATGCTGCCCCCTACAGTTTGGGAGAATATTGGCTCACCGCAGAGACAAGCCGCACAAACCATAAACGCTGCGAGTTGTGAAGCGCGTTCCAGCTGCGAGCCGCATCACCACGCGGAAAGTGAATGCGTCAAGCATAAACCAAGCTTCAAGCAGAACCCTCAGACTGTTGTAGGGCTGGGCGATACGGCCTAAAGTCAATATCACGATATATTGAAGATTTCACCTCGATAACGATAAACAGACGATAATTACAGGTATGCGCAGAAACAAAAGTTGTCCACCAGATGGGGCTGTTGCCTGTACTACTTTGAGTCACATTTTTACATGACTCAAGGGTACAGCTTCTTAAAGGGACATGAACGCTTCCAACCTATGCACATCTTTTCATGTTTTAATTATCAAATTTATTGGCATGGGAAAAATTTTCTCAACAAGCGTCAGAAATTCCAATAACGATACATTTTCGATTTATTGCCCAGCCCTAGACTGTTGTCACAACACACACACACACACACACACACACACACACACACACACACACACACACACGCACGCACACTAGGGTTGTCACGATACTAAAATTTCAAACTCGATTCGATACTTGAAAAAAAACTCTATGCTCGATTTCGGTACTATTTAAAAACACCCATTTATCGAACAAGTTTATTCAAAAAATAACATTCCTCAATTTATATTACAAAAATTAAATGTTAAGAATTAAGTGTATTAAGTGCTTAAACCTTTCAAGTATCAGCATTTTTTAAAACGTGCATACAAAAACTGGTGAAAGTTAACACTTTAAATCATGACTTGTCTCACTATACATACACTATTTGCAGAGTGATGTTTTGCTGCTTAAACTCTGTTTAAGTAGCATTTTTGTCATAAGATGTAATGCCATATGTTTTGTTCTGTACTTTTGAACAACTCTGTTGGTCAATAAAGGGAGAAAACGAATTTCTCCACAGTAGGACAAAGGTACATCTACCGGTAATCTTAATAAAAACAGACTGGCGCACGGCAGTGACGTCATTAAAAGCGCCGGTTAGATAGTCTGTTTACGCCTAGAAATCCCAGACCAGACCCGCTCCAAACGAACAGAGGAATCACGTTAATGATTCCTAACAAAACCTTTCGACATGAAGATGTTTTGGTGCAGATAATGTCTTATTTCGAGGCTGCACATGGGTGCCCGTCCGCACCCGTTATATGGATATACGCTGACGGCGATTCGCCGATGGACCTACGGTAAATACCCCGGGGAATCCAAGTAGCACCAAAGTTGTCAGCGTGAGTAAACAAACGTACTGCATGCTAGACATTAAGTCCGGGTTGCAATAAACGGGAGTTTCCTTTAAGCACATAAGCGTGAATATACAACTACGTGTCGGACTTGGTATGCTAATGAAGTTGGGCTGTGAAGCGCCTCCCAAATTCGCTGTTTATGTTTTTGTTTATTTATTTGGCAGACAAAACTTGGATCGGAGACAACTCGCGTGGGAAATTGCTATGTAGCCATGCGGCGTCTTCTTCTTCTGTTTGTCTGGGAGGCGGAGGTTGCTTTACGGCATCTGGCTGTCGTGCGTGTTGGTGTACTTGAAGAAGGCTGTGTATAATAGTCCATAATATCGATACCACAGGGATGGAATATCTCATTTAGATACCACTTTTAGCATCGATTTATATCTAGGTATCGATTTTTTTGACAACACTAACGCACACACACACACACACTTACGTAAGGACTTTTAACGAGTGTCTGATAGCACACAGGTATGGGATTAGCACAAACTGCTGTTTCCACAACAGCTGTCTAACAGACAGAAGCCCCGCCCACAGCAGGGTTCGTCCTACAGCAGTCACACTCCGGTCTGACAGTCTGAGTCGCGTTGAGCTCAGACAGCAAAGAAAACCCGCCCCAGTTCATTCAGGGCCACAACAAGAGTTTGTGTGTTCAGCGTGAAACGAGATCAGCCGACTCCGACTAGCGTAAGGCAGGAGCACTCCCATGAACCAATGTTTAGAAACATAATAGAAACTCGTTTAAAACATTGTTAACACAAACATAAATTATTTAGACGTTTAGTGATTTTTGTGAGAAAGATTTTATTTTTGGCCAAACCAAGTGGCGTCAACTTAGGGAGTCCTGTTAGCTTAATCCAGAGAAAAATATGGATTCTAGTGCGGCTCTGACAAAGAGGAAACTTTAGATGTTCATAATTCTACTTATGATGGACCAAAACCATAAAGTTATTAGTTTGCTGCTCGCCCCAGAGAGCAGAGACAAACCAGAGGGAGAAACCATCAGCCAAAGCAGCAGGGGAGCAGCAGGCGAGTTAATGCTAGCTTAAACTTGTGTGCTAGCATCACAATATTGTACAGATTACTATCATGTACCAGACAGTTAAAATAGAATCGGTCAGTTAATATAATATTAATACTAATGAGCGTCTGTCAGCTGTCTCATACTTGTTAATATCCGTTCACGTAACGTAGTTTAGCGCTTAGAGAGAGGGAGAGAGACACCTGTGATCCGGTTCTGGAGCTCATGCGGGCTTCTGTGAGCTGGATCCGACCCATACACCAGCTCCACTGGCTCACTGGTATATTTAAAGGCCACGCATCCTCTCCTGGACGCCTAGAGGTGTTGCTTCTGGAAACCCGTGGACTCGAAGTCCAGACAGGCTGGAGTTGGTAAAGCCTTCACACACTATAGTTTATCAACATGAACCCAATCCAAAACTAGTAAACACACACACTGACTGGATCACATGACCTCTCTACCCTAAAACTAGCCACTCTCCACACTGAGCTGAGGCAGCCTGGCTTCTAACTCCCTTTGGTTACTTCAGAGGTTCAGATTTAGAAAAAAAAAAAAAGCCTTTTTAGAAGCTTTGCTGAGAAAGGTCACATTTTACTAAAAAAACTCAGCTGTCATGTATTTTAAAACAAAATATCCACAATAAGCTTTTCAAATAGTATTTCTTGGACGGCACTTGATGTGAATTAGGCTGTCGAGGACAAGCGGTCTGCTGCAGACCTCCAGCACCCAACACGTTTAACATGAGACCCAAAGCTCAGTGCGTGGTTGACCAGAACTGCTGCAGGAGAAGACACGGATACAGTGGAAAGGTCGGGACTTTGTTTAAGTCGAGCTGAGTCAGCAAAACAACTCCAGAGATGTCAGTTTCATGTACCTGCTGTTCTCACCCAAACAAGCTGTTAACGAACACACTTCAAACACCTGCAGTTAGGAACAAGTACACACACCTGGGCTCCTGGCAGTGCCTGCATCGCTGTAA